AACACTAGGCCACCTCCGCACACCACCCTCGCGAATGTCCCACTCAGCCGGCACCGCGGCTCTGCTAGCACCCTCCATTCGCATCCCCTCCTGACGCGCTTCGCACGCACAGGTAGGCAGGCACATGGTCCAACCTACATGCCCTCTCGTAATGAGTTCCTTTTTGCACTTGCTTCTTTGCCGCAACACATTTTTATCATGCGGAAAGCAATTTTGTAATTATGACAAGTACCAGCCGATTATCTTCTGTCGGATGGATCTTTGTTACGCTTTTCATTACGTTTGTTGGTCAACTCGTATAATTATCTTCCTGCACGATCTTCTTTCCGCACAGCGCTGATAAATAATAAAACTCGACAGCGGCGAAAATGAGCGTCGCATAGCTTAATAAGTATTCACGCATCGGTGCGATATTGTACGATGGCAATCGTGGAATATTTTCTTTTTGCAAAAAAAAAAAAAAAAATGATAGAATTATGACGATGATGAATGTCGCAGCTGTGGAGTCAGAGGCAATGCGAAAAACATGAGAAGATGAAGTGACGCGAATAAGTCGCCTTTTTCTTTGCTATGATACGAGTGAAAAGCGCCTTCGATAACGCTTAGTGCTTGTCTTTCTTTAACATCTTGTGGATACATATTATATTAAATCATGAAAACGTAAAACAACAAAATTATATAATTTTATTGTATAAGTAAAATACAAAAAATTAAAACTGTGCAACTTAAAATAATACGCGCTATTTCTTTTTTTTTCTAAATATAAGCGAAAATGCTACTAACCAAGGAATAATTTAACAGTATCATTTAAAAATATAATAATTATAAATTTTCAAGAGAATTGTTTCTACACACGTGCGAACAATGTATGTACATGTTATATATAGTGTTTTATTTCTCTTTTTAAATTGTTCTCGTTTTTAATTGAAATCAACATTATAAAACAAAATAAGAGAGTTTAAAATATCATAGTTACATAGATTATTGTTACACTTTTTGAAGATATGCTATTAATAATATTACATTAAGAAATGATTAATTAAAATGACCAAAAATAGTAATTATTTTTATTTAAATTTTTGCATTATTTTCTGCTAATACCATTTAGTAACGTACTTAATGAGTTTGCTTTCCTAAAGTTTCTTACTAATTTTCCAGCTTACTAGCATAATGAAGTGTACTTATCAAGAACCAATAATTTAATTAATAAGATGATACTTATATAACTTAAATTGAAAGGTTTAAATATAAAAGTTTGATAATAATATTATTTGGCACATAGTTGTAATTAATATTTCTAAAATATCGACATTACTTATTTAAAAAATAATTATTTAATAAATTTATATCGTTTATTAATTATAACATATCATTCGGCCATTTATCGTTTTTCGTAAATACAAATTTAAAAGTACACATTTTAAATTTCTATGCAACACATTTAAATTACTATACAAGGCAAAAAAAAAGAATAGATTAAAATCTGCATGTATAAAAGAGATTATTTACGCATGCGAGAAAAAAAATTGACAATATACATAAAAACAAATAACACAAAATACTATTTATTAGAATGGACAGAGACGATGATCAATACGTGGATAAACGCGTTGACGAAGGCGCCAAAAAACAGAGAGAGGAAAAGGGACAAGAAGGCTTGTTCTTTGTACGAGAGAACCATGACTGGCTATATAAGGTGTATCGAGCAACAAGGACTAACGGTCTTTAATTAATAAAGTTACGCGAACAACTCTCAAAGTCTTCCTGCTTCCCGTGCCCACCCACCTGGATAGCAGCTATTTCCTTCGCTTTAGAAATTCTGGTATTTTCCCTCACTCTCCCTCCCCCTCATTGCTTCTTCATACTTCGGTCTTCCGTAAAGGCCTACCTGCGAAGTTGTAACCCTTTATTGCACGAGAAAGCGTCTTCCGCTTATTTTGCAAAGATATTTTTCTACGAATTTTCCTTCGATACCGATAATTATGCTCACGTTTTAAATGGCATTTTAAATGGCATTTTAAATGGCATTTAATATCAAATTATTATAATGCCGAGAGAAAGAGAAAGAGAAAGAGAGAGATAAAAAGAGAGAAAGCCATAATTTATGTATAGATGTACAATAATTTCAGTTTGATATATTTTTTATCTTATTTATATTGCTCATACTTCTTTGTATTTAAAAAATAATAAAAATTAAACGAGTAGGAAAATACTATGTTTTTGAAATGTATCCCATAATTTTATATGTGTATAAGCATATGTATTTCTAGTAGACGACGACAATAGATATATAAGAAAGAAACTGTAAAGCTCTGATCTTTAATTGAACGTGGATTAATTTTGAAACTAGATTCTCATGTCAAGCAGTAAAATATAGTAAAATTGAGGAACAGAGAATTATCATTATATTCAATTTAAAGATTAACTGAGAAAGACAATGGGCAACAAATTCTGTATGAAATAAGGCATTCAAATTTGATTATATAAAAATCATAATGTGAAAAAATTTATAACATTTCACATCTCTTTTGAGTATATTCAGTAATATTAGTTTATAGAAATTTATACGTGCAGTTCAAGAAACGATGTACATAGAATGTGTACACATTTTACAGTCACGTGTAGACACTTTGAATTTGTAATACATACGGATGTCGTGACTTGCATATATAACACATATATACAACAGAGTATATGTCACTGTTACGTAAATTATATAGTACATACATGTATATAATGCGTAAACGTTCGTAATAATACACGTATGGGGGGCTTTGCTACGTATATTAAGCCAGCGACATTTTCACGTATACTACGCTACGCGTATTTATATATATATATATACACGACATAATAGAGAAATGTGTAGTACGTTCAACACAATGAACGAAGAGTGACGTGAGAGTCACTTCACACATCGTTTATTGATCAAACGTTTCACATAGCATATGTTAAATATGCGACATTTTCACTAATTTGGAATCTATTTATCTTTCTACATCATTGAAACAAATCCTGAAAAAATCTTTAAAACAAATTTGTCTCAAAGTTTGAAAATTTCTTTCAATATATATTTTATTTAGAACTCCAAGTAAATTTTTTACGTGATGAATTAAAAATTTTTATATTAAGAAAATATATGCAATTCTATATTAGAATGAAATTAATATTAAAATGTAAAAGAAAATTATGTTTAGATAGAGATAGAAATCAATGATATACGTTAATAAGATATTATTTTGTATTACACGTACAGGCAAAGTAGCACTTTGTGTGCGTGTTTTTTGTGCGGAAAGCGGCCGCAAGATGGCGGCGTGCGATCGGCCACCTCGCGCACAGAAAACGCGCACAAAGCCACTTTGCCTGCACTTGTAATACAAAATAGTATGTGCACAATATACTATTATGTGACAAGAGAGGCCTGTACTTTGTAATAATTCTCAATGTTCGTCATGTTATAATTGATAATTTGCACGAAATTGCAATACATCTTATCGTGGCGCCAAAAGCAGAAAGAGTTGAAGATCTTTTCAAACTGTGCTGCGCGAAGGCGGACTTCCGGAAAAGGAAGCACCACCCGTGGATTGCCAGATTTCAAGAATTAAACCGTCTTCCCGCTGCCAACCCCGTGATGTCTACTATAGCGCATCAGCCGCCGTATTTCTCGAGAGAATCTTCCGACAAGTTATGGCTTGCTAAAGAAAATTGACTTGAATCTACGCCAGGATAATAAAAGCGCATAGCTGCGCGAGGAAGCGCGGGCGAGAAAAATGAAGAAACAATCCTGACACCATGGGCGATACCGGTATAGAAGAGGTCGTCCGGATACGTAAAACGGCCAGATAGAAAATCCTTCTCGTTATATACGTATAGATTATAGATCGTGAGGCTGTCGGCCCCAATGTTAATAAATATCTATTAGTGTGCTTCGAAAACTTGCATCGCAATACTGTTATTACGAACGATATTAAGCGCGACACGGATATTGCGTTATTTTTATGGGAACATTTGGCCCATTTCGTATACGGTGCATCTAGAAAATTTACGCTAATATCTACTATCGCACGATTTTGGAATATTAAACGATTATTGTCACGAACAACACGATTTCTCATATTCGATATTTTTATTTTATTAATGTTAATAGACACTCTGCTAATGAAACGTGATTATCCATATTAAATATATCACGTTTGCGTCATTACGTCTTACTTGACGTTTAAACGAGACATGTATAATTTAATTTTTATTTCTTTTTTTGATATCTTATTTTTTTAGACAAAATTAAATTAAGAAGTGTATTTGCATATGCTATACATATATTTAGTAGTTATATTTTATTAACGTTACTCTCTATAAATTTTAACTAAAAAAAAATCTCGAATTTTTGATATTTATTACATATTTATTTTAAAATATTAAAAATATGAAATACTTTTCTATTCAAATTATAAAGCTTTTTGTAATATCACGCAATGGTAAATTGACATTGACACTGATATTAAGACTTGCTATAATATTTTTCAATTATTGTAATTTATAAGCTATATATCTTACATTATTTTATAAATTACATAATCAGATTTATCGATGAATATCGGCAAATATGATAACAAGATATATTGGAATTGTTATTAATATGACGTAACTGTACTTGATTACATTAGGAAGCTAAGTAAAAGCTTTAAAATCAAGCGCTTTTGTTTTGTGGTTCTACTTATGTGCAGATAATCACATTATTATACGATAATCAGCCATTATTTCATTACCATATGCGATAGCGCCCTGTTGATTATAATAGCTCTTCTGCTAACACATTGGCGTGTCTAATATAATTAACGTATGTATGAGTGAAATTCAAAATAATATTATTATGATATTTGCCGCGTGTCTCAATCGCTATAAAATGTATTTTATTTCCCAAGCAGTGCAATGTTTGAAAATTCTTTGTAAAATTCTTTTGCACACACTCGCATCAAACAATTGAGCAATTCTTTTACCTTATTCGGTGTTGTTGCTTGCTGCTGCGGCGAACAGCTGGTGCTGTGTATAGTCGGCTGATTGGTCGTCGCCGGCACGATGCCCTGATGGTTCAGATGACTCAGCTGATTCAGCTGCGAGAGCTGCTGCGGCTGCTGCACCGGATTTTGAGTGTTGGCCTGCAGTTGTTGATGATGTGACTGATGCGCAGGATGAGTCGTCTGATGATGCGTCGCAGGGAAGGTGGGTACCGTGAACGGGACGAACAGCATCGGGCTGCCGAGGATGTGCGCACCACCTCCACCCAATGCCCCCGTCTCCTCCCTACACCTTTTTCGTGCGTTTTTTGTTTTGGGTAACTTTTTTACTCCATCAACGGTGTTTTTTTTAAATATTTTTCTTTAAATATCGGCGTACTACTACGCGTCGTATATATCGTTACTTTTATTATATTATTTTGTCAAGTACACTGTCGATGACGACGACGAGCAGAGTAGAAGCGTAGCAGTAGCACTAGTAGTAGTGGTAGTAGTAGTGGTGGTAGTAGTAGAGGTAGAAGTAGTGGTAGTGGTATTAGTAGTAGTGGTAGTAGTAGTAGTAGTAGTAGTAGTAGTAGTAGTAGTAGTAGTAAGGAGTAATAATATACGTGTCGAAGTGAAGCTACAATGTATATTTAATGATTTATTATTACCTGCACTCCTGCCCCAGCCCCTGGTGCTGGGGATGGGCGTAGGGGGCGGCTCGGACGGAGGTGGTGGACGCCACCCTCGCTACCCTCAGCGATAGACCGCCCCGCTGACTGGTAAGTTGGACCGAAGTTGGCTGGTGATTGCTATGCACGCAGCAACAGGCACGGCAGCCGATCGGCTGTTGTTGGTTCGGAATAGCCTGAAGATGATGACTTAAGGGGCCCCTGGGCCCCGTGGAGGAGGGAGAACACGGGTACACCCCAACCAGGCAACCCACCACCGCAGCCCCGGGGCCCGGTGCACTCGGTGCCAAGGCGCCTGTGGACGAGGCCACCCCAAGCTCGCTGGCCCTCCGGCAACCACTGCACCACTGCACCCACCCTCCTTGTTGGGGGGCTTGTTGATACGTCCTGTTGACGTTGATCGTCGAGCCGGGCTGAACGACCTCAACCTGGGCCTCTTTAAGTTCACGTTTGCCTGCGGGCGGGATTTTGCTACTTTGCTGTTTACTTAAGGTGATCAACTCTGGATTTGCGCGTGGCAGACGCTGGTTTTAATCTGTTTTAAATTTTCTCGGATCAGGCAATGACAATCAACGAGGAACACCTGAATTGCTTCACTTCGACTTTATTTCTTGATTTTGTATCACAACACTGACGCTCGCAAGGACTGCTGATTTGAAATAAATCAGAGAAAAATCACAATCCTTCCTGCAATTTTATATGTTACGAGAAAAATGTGAGTTTTAATATATATTTGCAATTATTGATGCTTCCAGTTTTCTCGAGTTTCGTTAATGTGATTAACACCGATTGTGTGTTGTTCACCACAAAGCGATGCGATTGTGTCAAAAACTATTCTTCACGTTTTGTCACGATTTCTTAAAAGATGTTTTTGAGAAATATGCTGAGTTCTACCGAATCCCGTTCTTGTGGAATGTGTTTACCGTATACTCTTGGCGCAGTCGACGCTCACTTCACGGCCACGTGGTCGACTCGAATAAGATTCTATGTCAACCTTTTTCAATGCCGGTATAAATGCGAATCGCAGATATCTTTGTTTTTGTTGTGTATAAAATACGTCACGGCGATTAGAAAAGTCTGCAATTTTTATATGTTCTTAAAATATTTTTCTTTTTCGTTTTACTTACTGAAGCGAATCTCTAAGACAAATTATCGGGTATATAAGCAAGTATTAAATATTAAATTAAAGATGAGATGAGCTTTCAAAATTTAATTAATACATGGATATAATTATTATGCTGGTTTTAATGTACGATAATTGAACACGTTTTATCGCATTGTATAAACCGATAAACTGATAATACCTTCTCTTTAATAACGAGCAGAACTTGCGTTTCAACGATCTATAACAAACGTCCGATGTCACTCGATTCGGTAATACAAGTCACGAAACACGTGTTTTGCTTTATAATTAAAAATACTGCAGCATATGTCTCTACTGTAAGTAAATCGGGTAACTTGCAACCTTTCGTTAATTTCTTAATTAAATCTTCCAGATGATGAATAGATCTATGGTGAACAACACTCGTTGCAACGTAGTTGCACGCGTCGCATAAAGGCTTTCGCTTACGAATGCAAGGAAAGGTACGATGTTCGCGGTCACACGCACACCTGGAAGAACAGTAATCACTTGATCGTTCGAACAACACCTTCTTTGTATTCTCTTTCTAATGCTTTTCTAGATATCTTTCAGGTGTGACGGGCATTAATCATAGAAATGATTGACTGAACGATTATTGCCGCGCGAACAACATACGAAATAAAATGCAGGCGGATACTTCCGATTTTTGTACGAGGATTAATACCCGTATTTGCGGCGACTTTTTTCTCTCCTTCCTCCACGGGTAAATCAAACAAAGCGGCCGGTCCTCGCGATCGTACAAATGAGATTAAAGACACGACGGGTGGAAAAAGAGGGAACCTAACCCGTAATGTTGGAAGGTCGCTCGCCGACTGACTAGCACTTCCGCTCAGGCTGTTGTGCGATTCAGAGTGGGGGATGCTTCGTTGAGTTGTTGTGTGTAGGGGTTGGTGGCGGTGGGTCGACTCGTTGGTTGGTTGGTTGGGGTAGTTGTGTGTGCTTCGCTCTTGCTGTGCGCGGGAAACCAGGGGCTTTCAAGCCTGCAGGATCTGTGCGGCCCGGCGAAACAGCGACCAGTTTCACGTGGCTCGTACTAGCTTGAGTTCAACTACTTTCACCTTGCGTCTCGTTGTCAACGTCGCGCTCTCAAGTTTTCATGAAATCTCGATGCCGTGAATTTTAAGTAAGCCCCGCGCGTCGTAAACGCATAAATTCCAGAAATGTTAAGCCAGTATTTATTTATATGTTAACCCTGATGAAGCGCTGATTCTATCTGTCTGATTATAACGATCGTTTATCACTCGTAAAACAAAATTGAACGAACTTTGTGCGTTTAGAAATTTAATCGTCTTGCGGCGAGATGTACGAGCGTATAATCAAGACAAAAGGGTAGAACATGATTCGGTGAGTAAATCGATTAAACGATGAGAAGAAGTCGAGATGTACGAGAATTGCGTAGGGTATCAGGTGCGCGCTTATCCTGTCAATCGAATTATCTAGGGTTTGTCGCAGCTGCTTCAAAATATCCTTTTACCTTGATAGGCACAAACCAGATATCAATCAACGTTTATTGTTGAATTTTCGAGAATATAAAATAAATGGTTCTCGATATATCGAAATTATTTACAAGCCGAATAGATTTCTACATAAAATCTTGTGATTTATTTCTTTACGCAAATAAATTTCATTCTTTCACGATAATTTACCATCGTAAGAGTTCAACCGAAACAATAGTAAAGTATAAACTTGAAGTCGGCACTGTAATTATTAATATCACTAAGAATCTCAGAGACTCTCGTATTTCTCGCTAGGCCATAAGGAGATGTTCGGCCGACGGACACGAGCACTATTCTGCGGACGGATTTTAACTCGATGGCGTATATTTCTAGAACAATTCACGTTAGTCCTTGCACCAAAAGAATCACTGAAAAATACATTCGAAGCACTTGTCACAATCGTCGAACTTGCCGTCACGCACTGCCAAAAAAATGTCAATCACTTTCGCGAACGCCTGTTTTGTTTGAAGGGAAGGATTCTCGAGCGGGGCGCCGGCGAACGATGGGGGAGCGTATACCGGTTCACCGTAAGCGTGGTTGTTTGTACGCGTGCGTCCTGGTACAGGTTGTGTTTATGCGGCCGGCAATCGTATGTAAGTGTTGGCGCGTGACGGTGAGGGAAAAAGTGTCTCGGCGCGAGTTACAAGCGGCGGATAAAAAATGATAATGGCGGATGAACAAGCGGATATATGCGCGGGGGTACTGGTGCGGCGCGGTGTCTCGTAGCCTGGTGCGTAATGGGCTATGGATTTGGTGAAGCGCTGGTCCTGCACGTAGGGTAGGTAACGTGGAGACAAGAACCCTGTATCGCAATGTATCGCGGCGGCGGTGGCGACGACGGCGGCGGCAGCGGCAGCGGCGGCGGCGGCGGTGGTAACTGGAGGGGTGATCTGTCAGGCTGGAGGGCGAGTGGGTGGTAGAGGGTGGGAGTCTGGCTCGTTCCTTCCTTCGTTCGAGGTGGTGGAAGAGAGGGTAGGTCAGACGATCTCGAGACCGAGGGCGCGCAGAGCGCCGTTTCTCGTACGGGAACAGTTATCGTTGCTTCCGTTGCTGATGTCGTCACGTATATCTATAGTCTTTTGACGTTTGATCCAATTTTGTATCCTCCTACGACGGCATGAATTTTCTATTTTTTACGGACGCTCGATTCTAGAATTTTAGTATCGAAAAACAGAGAATTATTTATTATTTATTATATTTATGTACCAAGTATATAAATATGTAAGGAGTTTATATCACAGATTAATCAGACATAATTTTATGACCGATAAATTCTATGTACAAAATGTTAATCAAAGTTTTTATCTTAATAAATTTTGAAAAGACGGAATTTCTCTTCACTAAAGTTATTGATTAATGTAATATTTTAAAAATATCATTTTTATTATATATACAAATATATTATTATTTTTTATATGAAGACAAGATACGCACGAAAAAATTTAATTACAATTGAGATTTCTTTCTTTCTTTTTTTTCACATTTTAGTATTACATCAATATAAGCCCCTACTTCTTAATAGAAGAGAGATGATATTTGGAAAGAAAATTTTCAAAATTATAAATAAAGTTTTATATTTTGTTATAAAAATCTAGGAAGAAAATATACATATTTTTCTCTTTATTACTATGTTAGTTCACTAAAAGAAGAATATATTCAAAGGCATGTGGTTAGAGTGCCGATGAATCGATCAGTACTGGTCATTTGGCTCCCTTTGTCGCACGTGTTAATTAAAAATTGCTGGCGGTTATCGTCGTGGAAGGAATCACGTATATACCTGTAATTAATTTATCGATAAATTCTCATCAACCATCGAGCAATCTCACAGCATTTACTGGCCGTGCTTTTAGAAATTTTGTCTTTTTGAAATTAATAATTACTGAACAAGTTATCAATTATATTTTGCACATATAACATTTACGAACCGTTCGCATTTGTGGTTAGGTAAATAATCGCTCTATAACTACTGCATGAGACAAATAGAATAATGACAGTATAGTATATATTCAACTGTTTATAGCATTAGATTTGATTAGCTTTTGTGCTCTGCGAGGCGTTAATTACCAAAGTAACATATGACAGTGTACGAATTGAGAGAAATGAAACGTTTGCTATTTACCAAACAGATTTGATTAAATAATTTTTACGTGCTTATATAAATTTATATAGATCTATTTTTTATATGAAATGTCTATTGATTTATATTTGCTGTTCTCATTTTGTATAGCAATGTATTATGGAAAGAAGAAAAATTATATATGTATACATATAAAAGATATAGTTTTTCCATAAAATTACAATGACTAATGTTGTTGGCATCGAACGGCAAAAGAAAAACACAGCGACAAAGACGGATTAAAAGCAAAGTCAACAATTGTAAGAACTTTAAATGCGATTTGCAACTCATTTATAATTCAGAGTCCTCGCGGTCGGCAATTTTCCATCGGGTCGCCATCAACGAGCAGGCTCGCAGGCTCGCAGGCATGACAGATATGGTGTACACATTGCGCCCAGGAAATTTCGTATTTTCGCGGCTAATGACTGAGGAACGAGACGGTAATGTATTCTATGCGGAACATCTACTATGCGCTCCCCATTAGCATTTGTAATGCGCATCTACCCCCTAACTCTCGGGGCGCAAGCGTTGACGCTCGGCGCAAACCCATCAACGTACCATTTATAGCGCCGTTTCGTGCCCGCGTATGCGAAGAAAAGAGTTTACTACTCGTTGCTGGTGAATATGTTAATAGGATGCACCCGCGCAGCGTCCTCTTAGCGGCGTCCCGCGTTATGACGCAGCCGTGTTGCTTGCTGGAAGATTACTGTCGTGCCTTTAGCGTCAAGATATTTTTCCGCGCGGCTCCCAAAGGCCGCGATAATATGCGGAAGTAGACGCATTATTAAGAGGCCTTTCACATGTCGTCGCTCCTATGCCACAATATCGTTACACCCGCTTACCATCGATATGCTTTGTGATTCTTCTTTTTTTTTTTACCTCTTGCCACGGCGATTTGCACTTATCGCTTTTACATGAAGCCGCCCTTATCGACTTCGTCGAGTTTGGTAGATAATCGAGATCGACGTATCTATCGCGTGCATGCGTTCGACCGCACAACCAACATGTGTGTTTACACTTCTGCGCATTTGCCCCGAAATATTTTCTCTACTATAAATCGATACGCTTTAGGAGAGATACAATGGAGAATGCTGAATCATTTGTATTGAAGCGCGATATATCTAAATGCATTCTCTTTTCTTTTATTCATACATAATATACGACATGTGAGAAGGACTTGTCTTATTTTAAGAGTAGCTAAAAAAGTATTCTTATTTTTGTTTTGCATGTTTTTATAAAAAAAATAATCGTAAAAAATAATTGCGACATCTATTCGACTTTTGCATTGATATCTGGTCTTCCAAGAATGTTTCGCGCGAAACACCAGAGCCACAAAATTCCGCAATGGTGTTGCCGTAAAATCCACCAAGAAATGTACAATAAACAACGTGGCTTCTGGCAGCGATAACGCCGTAATTAACACTTCAGCCAGTGCGCCGTGCAATCTCGCCGGATATGTTTCGCGGAGAGAGGTACCGGAGCTGCTATAATATCCATGAAAAACGCTTGTTCAGAGCCGGAACGACCGTCGAGACCTGGAAACGTCCCGAAGCGCGGAGCTAGTGACAGCAAAGGCGGCGAGCGCAATAACGGATAAGCGGAGCAATCGGACAGTTTGTGAGCGGCCTCTGCTCCTGATGGGCTGGACGATGGAGAGACACGGCTGTAGGGAGTCGGTATATTTATAATGACCCTATATGTATGCAAATGGCCGCATATCGTACGCTTCTATTCCGCTCGCATCGCTCGCATTCACACGAGTGAGATAGAGATAGAGACAGAGAGAGAGAGAGAGAGAGAGAGGACTCTGATCCACGCATCATCTCCGCTTCTCTGTATATGACTTTCTCTCGCTCTCTCTTTCTCTTTAGCATTTTCCGAATCCGCGAACGTATTCACGTACGCAAACTTGTGCACGTATACCGCGAGATTGCGTGTGCAATTACGAACACGTACATAGGCAAATCGTGAGATGAAAATGCATCGATTGTGCGTAAACGCGAGTCAACGCAATTCCACGAGAGACCGCGGCACAATTTTCGCAGTTTAACCAAGTCTTTTGGCCATTATACACGAACACACAGCATATTCCTGATAGATGCGACAGATCATTTCCCGAACGAAAGCGTTCTCTAACTTGACAGCAAATCTAGTATAACTTTCTATAGGTATTTGCCATAGAACTCGTACGATTCCATTTATAAACTTTCCGACAAAACATGTATTTTATCCTGTCTCTCAGGAAAGTTTAATAGAAGCCTAGTACCCCAATCAATGTGACAAATATATGTATTTAAAAATCTGCATCCTATAATACTGAATAATTTCAATTTATACAATTTATTAAGATTTATGCATACAGTCACAATTATTATTTGATTTTATCAATTGCTGATGCATAATCAAAAAGTTATTTAATGTGATTTTATCTTTATTCCTAATTCTCATATTAATAAATTTATATTATATTTTATAGTTTCGTTATAGAACAACTATTTATTTTATGAACTGCCAATATACAATTATATTTTAAGCTATCTTTTTAATTTGACATGTGTGTCGAAAATCAAAGCAATATCGACCAAATATAATTAATAAATATAATAATTTTATGAAAAAATTGCGCTTATAAGAATAGCACGCGATTAGCACTTTAATATTCTTTAAAATTTTATTTTAGATCGTTAGAGGATTCAAAGCACAATCAAAATATATTACTAGGTGTTTCTACATAACAATGCGAGAAGTAAAACACATTCATCTCTTTCTGACCTAAAACTCGGCTCGCGTAAATGTCGATAGGGCGCATCGCGATGCACATAAATTATAACGATAAACATGTTATTTATAGACCAACATAAATTGGCTATGCTAATTTCTGCTGATCAGCAGGAAACTGCATTGGGGATGCCGATCGCTATAGTCGCATTCATTGAAAACAAATTGCAGCTTATGCCGATGTCGCAAATCTCGCCGTTTAGCTAATGTGTAACGAGAAATAAAAATTTATTCCCCATGTAATAATAATCTCTCATGCTTTCAGCTATAATTCTTACAGTTTATAGCTAGTTACAAATCACATAATTGTAAATGATAAAAGTTATTAGAGAGAAGTGATTATTTTATATTGTATATATGTGTTGTTAATTATTACAACATAATTAGTGCATACAAATTATTTTACAATATTCTACAATTATAAAATAAATAATAAACAAAATAATTTTAACTATTATTATATTTAAAAAAAAAAAGATTAAAATTATACGATCTTGAATAACAAAAATTTTATATACGTATATAATATAATTAATATATTTTTAATCCCGTGATATAAATGTATTAAAAAAATACATGAAAAAATGTAACAAATTTAAGATATCGTTGAAATACATTTAAAGCTATAACATTCCATCCTTTATATAATCGCATGACATTAGTATAACATGCAACATTATATACCAGGATAAAATAGGTTCAGCAAGAAACAGCAGCAACAGTCGCCAGTTTCGCGCGGTACTAGTTTCCGTCTCCGCGGTCTTGTTTTGCGGCATGAAACCGTGAACTACCTTAAATAATTGCAAGCTTAAATGTGTTTTGCTAGGGGCCGACCGAAGGAAGCGAGGCAATCAAAGGAGGAGACTGTCGAAAGAAGGATAAGGAAACCACTACAACAGAAAGTTCGCAAAGTGTTTCAACGTATTCGTTCAGTTCACAAGGTCCAGCGATCTCTTTCAAACAAACTCTTGAACCGATCATTGATTGTAAGCAGATGATTGTACAAAATAGTGATGAGACAATTCTTTACTCTTTTCACTTGGTAGACATTAAAGTGGACAATATATTCTTCGAATATTTAAAATGTTTGTATTTCTGTAAGGTTTTTAACGTTTTATATCCGCTAGAAGTAGTTAATATATTAGATTTAGTAGATTTTAATAATATATAAGAGAAATTTTTTAATGACTCATGAATATTATTAACTGAACAAGACGATACAGATGCGAAAATCAACATAATGAATTGATCCTAAATGCAAAACTCAGCAAATATGTATGTTTACGAAAACTTGAATAAGTCTATCAAACCGCTAATCGCGCGATCAGAATTCACAGCGGAAAATACAAAATTGGAGGCGTAATATAGACGTCTTATTTCTGGATATACGTAGAAGAGCATGACGAACGGTCGACCCCTCGGTAAAGTCCTTTGCATAGCCGGAGGGAGAACGCCGAAATTCCAGGGAAGATTAAGACGTGCGGATTTGGGGGTAGGGCAAGCGGAAAAACAGGAGCTAAGGGCAGGGAGCGGAACCTTAGCTCGCGGCTACAGAAAACCATAGTCGGCTCGTCGCAGAGAGACGCGAGAGAAATCTCTCCCACCGCTCTTGCTGCACGATCTCTCCGTCTCCATATCTATTCGTCTCTTTCTATTCTCCACATTCTTTGCCTCCTCTTTCCTCCCCTTCTCACTCTCTCCTTTTCGCGTAAAAGCAAGAAAGCTTAATTTCAATTTCGAGTCCCGAGGGTGTCGTTCCGAAACGAATATAATTATACGGAATAATTCTGACACGGGGACGATGAGAGAGGGAAAGAGGTTGCTAGGCGGTTTGGCATCGGGTACAGAGTGGCGGGAGGATTTCGGTTGTGAGTCGCGTTGAGAAGGAAGTCTCGTTCAAAAAGGGTAGCAGTACGGTGGAAGTGCAGAAGAAAGTGGATGGGTGTGTCTGTGTGTGTGTGTAACGAGGGTGCGTACAGTCTAACTATCGCGTAGACCGCAGTTGTAGACATGCTCTTTATGTTACGCACGACAAACCCGCCAAAAGATAGCGAGTTGCTTAATGGCTCGAGATTCCTGCCGGCGAGGAATGTCCTGAATGAAAATTAAGTCAAATGTTCTTATTGGACTAGCCTCAACCTTATCTCGTGATGTGCAGTTCTCGAAATGCGACGTTTGGATATCGAATGACATTTTTAAGCAATCTTCTGTGTTTTGACAATGTTAGAAAGATATCTTTTCTGTTTTTTTTTGTTTAAATTTTAGAAAAATTTAAACAAATATTTTCTTTAAATTCTAAAGCATAATATTTCTTCGTTTTATTTAACAATTAACTAATATTTAATTTTCCGTATCTCTAATTGTAGTAATAGAAAGTAAGACATCTTTTGCATAAATGAAATAGAATATAAAAATATATTCAGTATATAAAATATTTATAGAGGAAATAATAAAGATATAATTATTTTTGCGCATCAAAAACATTTATACGTTGTTAAATGTAATATATTATATATAAAACACATTTATTTTTAACGGTGCAAATATATAATCATTTAATAATGTTTTCTCGGGAAATGTGCAAATAACATAAGATATAAAGTTGAAATAAACTGTGTTCTACATTAATTTCTACGTGTAAGCAACACACTCTATTTTACATATATATATATATATATATATATATATATATATAACACACTCTATTTTACATACATATATATATATATATATGTGTGTGTATGTAAAATAGAGTGTGTTGCTTACACGTAGAAATTAATGTAGAACACAGTTTATTTTAATTTTATATCTTATGTTATTATTTTATTTACACATTTACCGAGAAAACATTATTAAATGATTATATATTTGCACCGTCCAAAATAAATGTGTTTTATTTTAATTTTGAGAAGAATTTATTTTCTAATTCTTTTTTATTGTTTTATCAATTGCTTTTCGTCCTGGCTGACTTCACATTTTCCAACCTTGCGCTCGTTGTCTTCACGCCCTTATTTCATCCCTCTGTTCTCTCACCCTTCTTGAACCCGATGAGACGAAGGCACCTCGTTTCATTATCCGGATATTAGCCATCGGGGACCCGAAATTGCTACAACTTAAACAATTTGTTTTAATACAATCGTCGATTAAGCGTTTACTGATTACGTTCTCATTGATTTCATCTGCCTGCAATTTTACCTATCGAATCTATTTTCGCAAAATTGCATTTAAAAAAATTTGTTAATATTTAATACACTATTTATTATCATTAATTTCACATAAAGTTAAAATAATAATTAACAACTTAAAATTATGGCTATTTTGTGTATACGAATATTCGTAATCCATTATAGTACTTTTATGGTTTTATGATAACTCTTTTGCCTTGAAAAATATTTTATTGCAATACTCTCCGAAATAATATTTTCGAAAATGTAAATAATATATTCAGAGTGTATAACTGTATTTACAGTAAAAAAATATAGATGACAGAAAATATCCATTAGCGTAAATAAAACGATTTAATATTGCCTCATGCACTTTTATATATACTTTTTATTTATAAAAAATTAAGTTATATAATCAATTTGTACGAATTCCAATAAAATTTATATTTACTATTATTTGATTTTTTTCTTATATAATTTTCTTTTTATTCAAATAATTATGAAAAAAAGAGGGTGAGAAGAGGAGATGACAAATAATGTATTTAAATGTTAAACAAAAAGTATAAATTAAATGTGTGTGAAGATTAAAACTAATAAATATATAATAATACATATATATTTGATTTAAATTTACTTATAGAAAATTATTGATTAAATAACAAACGTCAAAATTTTATTTATCATACAATTACAGAATATGAATAAAAAGATATAGATTTAGTTGACTGATGTTCGGTTACATTCGACTGATCTCAGTCGCGTATGAAAATTATATGACATTAAATGTGGCACGTCAAACGCAGATACCAACATTCGCTCATTCGAAATGGAGATTGAAAGTATTGGCATACGAGGAAGAGAGCCCATAGCTGTCGATAGCATCAATATAAAATATTTACGTATACATATACGTAACCGGTTTCAATTATCAAATTGCGCAAGTAAATCAAGAGCGAATTAAGATCTGCTAGAAGCGTACACAAGTAGACGGTAATTAACTCATCTGGAAATTATGAAAGTCAAGATGAAGAAAGTTTGTTAAAACTAAAATAAAGTAAACTTTGAAGCGTTAGTTGTAAAAGGTAACGTAAATTTGCCGCTGCTTCAAAGGTAACTACTTGCTATTTATTCTTTTTACAGACTAAATACTTTATAGAATTACTTTTATAAAACGTATATTGAAATGTTTATTAATTATAAAAAGGTTATTTAATTATAAGAGACGAAAACGTGTATCTTATATCATATCTAATATTTCTTGTCTTATTTTACTTAATTATTGCAAGTCAAATTACGTTAAAAAGTTGCGTAAAATTCTTTTTAATTATACAGCAATCACTCTAAAGATTAAATTCGCGGAATTTATCGATGTCAATGAAAATATGCGGAGAATCGGACGATATACAAAATCCTATAAATGCGTGACAGAACTGTTTTTTTCAACAGTAATAGAAAGACTGATCGAGAAAGTTGAAGGGTGCTGCGTATAAAATCTTAAACGATTCGTTTGCCATCCGACCTGTCTCCCCTCGTTTTTCGTCCGTTCTGGTATTCGCGCTAAGCGACGCGTGCCATGCTGCAATCTAGTACCTTCGTCTCAGTAGTCTGCAGTGGAATCCCTTTTCCGTAGATATCCTCGAGAGCTCCAAAAAGCACGATAATTCCGTTCGTTTCAAAACCGTTTTCGTAATTTTCTCTGGAATCTCTTTTTCGAACTTTCCCTCTCCGACGCAGAAGCTTCGAAAACTTGGATTTTAAATTTCACATCAAAATCTTTTTCTGCATTTTGTTCGAAATATATTATCACGAATCTAGGAAACGTATTAATCATCCTTCAAAGTTTCGCATCAAAGCTGAGCTTGAGAGCGGCATAGTTCCAACTTGATGCTTGCCTTCTTGTCATTAAAAATCCTTTGTTGTATAAAAATAGTATTTCTTCAAATATATTATAATAATATTTAAATAAAAAAGTACCATTTCCATTTCCTATTGAGGAAGAATAGGAGTTTATTATCGTTATAATTATATGACAAATGATATAATCAACTAGAAATAATTTCTGTACTGCGATGATTAATTAGCACATTATTAAAAGTACGTATAATTAAATTAATATTAGCATTAAATTACTGGCATTTATTATTATAATAGTATAATACTATAATAACATTCAATATATATTTAACAGTAAATAACGTTTTACGATCGCATAGAATTAAACTTTTGTTTCCACGAGTTATTAGAGTAACAAAACAATTTGGGGATGGACAATCGATAATGATAGACAGATTGTTAGCACGTCTGCTCTACGCGGAACGCCGTTCTTAATTAATTTTCGTATCCAGCCGCTAATACCTCACGAATCACAAAAGGGGAGATCCATGCTAAGAATTCGTGAAGCTTTTTAAAGTTCGAATCGGTCTCGTCGCGAAGGAGGGGCATGAGGATGGAACGAGGTGGTTGTGCAGACACAAAAGGGAGCAGGGAGGATAAGAGAGATGGTGATGGAGCTAGGAAAAGAGAGGCGAAGAATGTCGACGGCGGTAGAGGAAGAGACGGAAAAAGATTGTGAGCGAGCAGAAGAGGAAAGAGAGATGTCGTCGCGCGGTGATTTAAGATCCGGTGCCGCGCGCTTAGTTCTCTAAACATTTTAGCCGACCTTATTTCGCCTGCATTATTTCAACGTTAAGACAAGGCGAGACTTCACGTCGCACAAAGACCAGGGGGTCCACGAGAGAGGCAGGTCGAAAGAGAGAAAGAGCGAGAGAAAGAGAGAGAGGAGCTTACGGAAGAGAGCTACCGGTTAAGTGGACTGATACATAAATATACAATTAATCAAGTCGACTTCTCCCGGTTGTAGATATATCGCATTCGTTCTCGGTATTCAGCCTCGTCGTCGCATCCTCGCGTGATTTTCCTTGCATCCTTTTCCTCTCACAGACGCCTTTCCTTTCCCTAATGCGCATACGCTCGTTTCTGCTACGATGTATAAATGAAAATGAATAAAGCGATTCGATTGAACAACGCCCAATCATGTTTATTATGCTGAGCCCTGCAGCAGACGAAGTACTCGTCGTGGGACAAATGACTCGTAAAACGAAGCGCAACGGCCATGCTTTTCTGACATTTGCTGCACGCAAGCACAATCGTTGATATCGTGTTACATAATTCGTATGATCAGCATTTTTGTCGGATCTTTCGAGTTTCCATTTATGCTATCAAATCATTTTAATATTGATGAGCTTTAATATGTGTTTATAAATAGACGTGTCCGTCATATTTTTAAATAGTAAATTCCGTCCTGTTTTTTTTTTTTGTATAAAAATTGTTAATGGAAATATATTATAATATAAGAGAGAGAGACAGATGTGAAAAATTTATTTAAATTTTGTTAAGATCTATCCTTCTTTCATTAAATCTCTTCAAAAGATATTTATACAAACGTACATATATGTAAAGAGAATTTCTTTTCCGAGTTATAAATCTTTTTGCACGTGGAAAATTTCAGTAGAAAAAGCCATGCAGCTTGCAGCACATATCGTATGCGGTTGCTTATTTTCAGTACGTGTTTTTAA